GGGGGGGCAAAGGTAGAAGTGCGGCGGGCTGCGCGGGGCTCGTTCACTACATTTGATTGTAAATAAGGGGAGTTCGCACGCCGATCGAGTGACCGGAGAGAACAAGCGACCCATTTTAATCAGCTGGTTATCTCCTCATCGTGGAGATCAGAGCTCTATCACTCCCTGGCTCGTCATTGTGTCCCCCCTCCGCGAAATGACAGCGCCCAGAAAGAAGAATCTGGTTGCGGGATGAGATTTCACTGTCTCTGCTGCTGGAGAAGTCCATCAGCTACCACACACAGCACAAGGAACCCACTGTACTCCCAACATGTACATGTCCAATTATCCCTTCTGTACAACTGCGCGATTACTTTTAAGCGAGAGATAAGTTACGCGCGAAATGATATTTGGCTCTGCAACCTTTTTTTTCTACAATAATAAGATCATTGTTATTCAATTTACATTCTACATATAATTTAAATTTACAACCGCAACATATTGACTTGCGGTACAAAATACCTAATCATTATCCATTATCATTTATTATTTTCTTTTTGTTGGTGTGAGTAAAGCGTGTAGTTAGTAAGTGTGTAGAAAGTTAGTAACATCAAAAATAATGAATAGCTGCTATTTCTAACGCTCGATGTCCGAGACGGAGAGTAAGTTTGGCGTGGTGCCATGTCAACTTATAATTCCCCAGCCAGGAATATCTGTGACAGCTGGGTCTTTCGTATCGATTATGTGACACTTTAGATAATTTACGGTGCTGTAAGGTTTAAGGGCGGAGATCAAACATTGGAGCTCGGTGACATTCTCAGCAGATGATTTTCCCCACAGGGAGACAAACTGACGCATCGTCCAGGAAAAAAAAGAAAGTTCTCCGTGGTATAGGATCATGATGTAACTTTAATCACACGCACCTCCTTTGAACAAACCGTGCTGAAAAACATTTGGGGAATTTGTGATATTTAATACAGTTTTAAGAATGTTAAGTTAGCTTCGGTGCGAGATGGAAACTATAATAAGAAAATATGACAAAAAGTCGTAGCTGTGCCAAGCGATTTTTTAAGAGCGTCGGGCTATTAGTTTGATCAACTGCAAAGTTCGCCTTTATGAAAAAAAAGACAAGGAGTTTAAACAGGTTTGTCGTAGCGACGAATAGGGTCATGCGTGTGTTTGGGATGGATAGTCTTGTGCTTCTCTGTTACTCCCGATCACTTGAGCCTCCGGCGCTTATACATTTCAAAGCCAAACAGCAGCTTTAAAAGAAAGTGACAGGAATTATATGGTAATCATCGGAGGGAAGGCAAAAAGTCCCATTCAAACAAACGGCGGATCGTAATCTAAAAGATGAATGCATTTTTTTCCCCTGCGAATTTCTATACTTGTACGTCATGGCCAAGGGATTCTCCGCTTCCGTTTCTGAGCTTCGGACTTAATTAGGGCTTTCTGGCTATAGCCAAAGTGTCAGAAAGACCTCTTACATGAAAAAACCCTCTTTTCGGTTCACTGTACATTCTTACGATCCTAACAATTTGCTGTGAAAATGTTCCTACCTTTGTTCATTTAACTTAATTGCCTTTGTTTTGTTGTTGTTAAAAATGTTACGTTTGGCAGGACATAAGCAAGGGTAACTTTTGTGATAGTGGCGGAAAAGGTATATCAGATTTCAGTGCGAGGGATTGAAATGTTAGCCTAATAGAATATAAAAATCTGATGTTTTGTTATTAATTCTGGATTATTCATTTTCTCTTCAGTGTTGAAGAACATCCTAAATTATAATGTAAAATGAAGAGTAAAGTAAAATTGTAAGATAGTTGTTCACTTCATATTAATACTCTACTTAAACTTAGTGGGAGAGAGGACCCCCCCCCCACCCCAGTCGGAAAGGCATAAGAGGAAGGTGTAACGTTTGCATCCATACTTAGTGGATTATAAAGATTCTGCACCCCTTTGAGTTTTTTTTTCCTTCAGTAAGTAGGATAAGCTTGGGGTGCCTGGTCACCGTGGAAACTGTCAGAACAATTCAGTTGAAGTTTGAAGGGGTCAGCTTGCAGGGTCAGCAGCTCCGGACTCACACTCCACCAGCTTCTGTTGGGTCTGTCACTGCGGTGGGAGTGGCCAGCCCAGCCTAGCCGTGGGTGGTGGGCCAGTCCTGCCCTGATATAAATTTTTTGAGTCAGCTTGCGGCCGGGCTCCCCAGGTGGGTCACAGAATCGATTTTAACCCCAGTGACCCTGTCTGGCGGAGACATGACTGACGGCCCGGGTGCGGACTTTAGGTGGCAGTCCCCTCCAGGGGCTGGGAAGGAGGTCCCGAGGCGGGCAAACCAGCCCAGGGGTGGGTGTGGGAGAGGGGGCTATTAGAAACTTGTTAGGCTCCTCATCAGGGAACGAGGACAGCTGGGGAAACACGTGTGCAGTGTTGCTGTGAGGCCCAGGACGCCAGCCTGTAGCTTAGCTATCACAGTGCCACTCTTCCTACACAAATTTACGGATTTATATCTCAAATATTTTCACTGGCCACTGGGAAAAGCACATTGTGGCTGTACACTGAACACACCCAATGTGTCTGACATGTAAAAGCATGCTGCTAAAGCCAAACCAGATACATAAAAGTTGCAGAAATGAGGCATATTAAACTCTTACAGATTTGAAATATCTATGGTGTCCTGTACATCATGGTAAAACATGGTAAATCGGTCATATAATAGTATACCAAGGGCTTGAATGCAGCTGTTCATTCAGAGAGTGAGTGAATGCTGATTTTCATTTAATTTATTTTTTATATTAGTTAGTTCAGTCTATTATTAATTTCAGTGATATCTTGAAAGATTTCTTTGTATATAAAATGTAACAATTAATATAATTTTATATAGAAATTAGTATAAACTAATATGGTAATCAGTATAGTGTACAGTTTGAAAAATGACATGTGGTGCAATACATTAGTCCATCACCTGGTTTTTATAATTGCTTTTGTTGCATGTTAATAAGTGCTAATTGTCAGATGTTAAAAATTGCATGACTAATTCAGAGGATGCGAGCATCCACATTAAAGCACGAAGCATTATAATTATTGCTCATCATGTTCTGGAACGCAAGACCTAAAGAGAAAATTAAAAGACAGAATATGGCTGGAGCAGCACAGTGAACAAGCTATAGGCTGTGCATGGTTTTAGTGGACTGGCGTCTAAATATGGAACTTATGATTCTTTTCATTGAATCCAAATTGAGTTCTTTCAACTAAAAGATTCATTCAGGAGAGTTCATTGATTCATTCACTACCCCTTGAATGTTTTCTGCTCTCAGGGGACAGATATTTTGCTTTCTGTGTTCATTTAACTGTAATTTATTACATTTAATTAATTGTAATTAATTAAGTTTAACTCATTGTAATTAATTAAACATAATAAAATGGTTTTGATTTGAAAAAATTGTTACTTCAGTTGGTAGTCTATATTCATAGATAGTTAAACATGTAATTTTTTTCGTACATATTTTATCTGTTGGTTGTGAAGAGCATAATTTGAGTTTACTTGTGACTGAATTGAATAAGGAATCATTCAGTGAAAAAAAAATAACTTTTTGAACAAATCAGCGGAGCGACTGAACAAATCATCGGATTTACAATGATCTTCTCCTTCACTTGAAAGATTAGTTTGAGAAGAACAAATCATTCGCCATGACATGCACCCCCCCCCCCACCCTGTGCCCAGTGCTTACTGCGATGGAAAACAGGCTCCCAGTCACCTCCTACCAGATTAGCAGTTATGGAAGATGGATGGATGTCCCCTTCGGATCATCCAGTCATTATGAAAACTCATTGTGTACAGCATGTCCTAACAGAGTGTTTTATTTATGTGTCTTTGTAGGTTGAATGGTTCTGGAGAAGCAGTATGATGAACTAAACAGGAGGAAACAGATCAACAGCAAATGGATGAGCAAAAACCGGTGACCATATTTGGCAGAGTCACGTGACTCTCTCTCTCTCACACACACACACACACACACACACATACTGTACCGACACACACACACACACAAACATACAGACACACACAGACACACACACACACTTATATATACCTGGTAGGTCTTTTATTGTTTCTAAGTTCTGCACTACCTGTCTTCTGAAAAAGCATTTTCCACAGTTGAATGTTTCAGCTATTTTTCACTATTTTCATTCAGTATAATAGAAATCCAAGATTTTTAAACTAGGGTGAGCAGTGAGCTAAGAAGCAAATAATGAGAGATATTTCTGCTTTGTCTTTTATTTATTAAAAAAAAAGATGAGTCTACTATACCTTAATTAAAGTATCACGCTAATGAAGTAGCACTGAAATTCACAATGTCTCCTGCGATCTTCTGTGTGTCCTGCCTCAGAAGCCCCGCCCACAGCCGGTAGAGCTTAGCAATGTCCACAGAGTCATTGGGGCATGGTGGATATTCTTAAACGGGGTGCTGTCATTTCTTTGCAGAGTCCTGTTGCACTCCGACTGTGGTCCAGGATTGCCCAAGAACTGTGTTATTCCAGCATTGTGCATTCCCGGAACTGGACGTAGATATAGATAAAGACAAAATGGCTGTACAGTCATGACAGGCCAAGCTCTGTAAAGTGTGATGGAGATGCGATATGTTTTCCACGACAATAGCACATAACTGATGTAGCATGTCATGTAAATGGACAAAATGTGACCATTTCTGATGCCACACTGGTCATGTGGTGTACTAGTCATGTGAACATAGATAAATGTTTCTATTGAAGAGGTCCAGAATAATGTACCAATTTTCTATTGAGAAAATGCAGCTCTGGAAAAAATGAAGAGACCAATCTATATTTTTAACCAAATCTAAATTTTTAAATCCTGGTTTAATCCTGGTTCTGCTGGCAGAGGCTACACTGAGCAGCAGGTTGCTTCCTGGTTCAAAATTTCTAAGACAGCAGCACAAGAATAAGGTGAAGCAGGAGACACTGGGAACGACCAGAAACCAGCCAGGTAGAGGGCAGAAGCAACTTTCTAATGGCAGAGATGACCATTAACCTATCTGACAGTTTCTCATGAATCGGATGATGACACCAAAAGGAGTGGGAAACATTAAGTAGTATGAAGTGCACTGCTAGTACAGTTCATATCAGGCTGCTAGAAGCAGGACTGAAGTCCCACAAAGCAAGGAGACGAGAAACAGAGAAGAACCAGGCTGCAGTTTGCAAAAAATGTATATTATTCACAGACGCACAGCCACAAATCGAGAAATGAGTGAAACAAAAAATTGTGCTGTGGCCCCTAATTTTTTTTTTTCAGAGCTGTATATTTTATGTAGTTTCATTCAGATGATATTCAAAAATTTAAACTTGAAACCCCACTAGGCATCTGGTATTGTAGCAAATGGATATGCAAACTGAAGGTTGCTGTTTGGAGTCCTAGGGGAGTTTCCAGTGTTGTGCCTTTTAACAAGATACATTTCAATAATTCAGGAGGGTCACACATGCATAAAATATTATAGGTTGCTTGGGATAAAAGTTTCAGTGAAACAATGATTGAAAAAAAAAATGGAAACAATTTGAGATAAATTAGTTTCTTCCTGGTGTCAGTGGTCTCTTGCCCTTCCAGAAGGAAAGAGCAGTCTTTTAGCATTGTGGGAGAGGGATACTCCCACATATAGCTTATGTCATTAGTAAATACACTTCTTAAGCAGAGTATTGACAACGATACATTGTATCGCTTCTCAGGTAACAGGGAATCTGTAACCTGTCTCGCTGTACCATTGCCCTCTACAGATTGCAACACCTGTGGAAACATTCCAGTAAGAATTGGGGGGGGGGACTTTTAATGCACGCCGTATGTGTCAGACATTGAGTCAACACAAAAAACGCCATATATCAATAAAATATATCAGTTCAAGCACATGTGCGATAAACCGTCATGTATGGAACGTTTACACACATTCTTGTGTTCTCCCATTCTCAACCAGCAATGTTCCTGAGTATTATTCTTCTCCCTGATTCTTTAAAGAATTCCCGTATAACCTGCACAACAGGTAGCCAAGAACATACCTGTGAAATGTTATGCATGTTGAACATGCGTTTCTCATGTATTCACAAAACAGAATTTTCTACATTCACGTGAGTAGGGAATTTGGGGGGAGATACAAGCAAGACGGTGGATGTAGCTAAGGCCTCTGGGAGAAATACACGCGGCCATAGGATTTTCTGGAAGGCCCGATGCTGGGGGACGACGGGGCCGCTGCTGTTTCTGACATCAGTCTCTTTCAGGGTGGGTTTCATTGAAAACTGCGGCCGTTGGAAAAGCGGGGGATTTTAGCCCCCATCAGCGGTGTGTGATGTCAGCACATGAGCCAACAAAAGGGGACAGATGGGGGTGGTGGTTGTTAAGGTTTAACGCGGCCCCCTTTCGCTGAGTCAAAAACACCAGAAGCAGCCCGTTTTATCTGGCTAAATCACACGCACTGTTAGGCTTCAATTTATTTCAAAAGTACCTTTTACTATATATAACTGTGTTCTTAAATTTGACTATTCTTTAGATATTTACTTTATTAATCTGCAGACCAATGTAATTTTTCAATGTCTTAAATAATAAGACAACATTCTAAAACACATGATTTGGTTTGGTATTATTATTAAGTGTCAGCTAGTTGATGTCTCCTGACAACCACGTAAATGGGAATTCTGTGCTTTGTTCGATTTGAATCCTCTGGTTTTCGAGTCGTATGCTTCTCTTCTATAAGCCGTACACTTTCCAATAGGATATGCTGATACAATCACCTTTTTCAGACCTTGTTGCATCATGAAGTTTGCCTGCCAGATGTCACTGCCGATATGCAGGCAGCAAAAAAAAAAAACCGGTCAACATAAATGCCTTGTTCGTCAAAAGCCTCTGACAGTTACTGAAATGCCCATAAGAGAAATGAAATGTTTAATGCTTGAATTTCAGATGAAAAAAGCAGAACAACAAACATGTCAAAATGCATTGATTCTGTGTCATCGCGTTCCCAAATTGTTAGCTGAAACATAATATTTTGGTCAATGCATACAGACATGGTAAGATCCTAATAGAAGAGAGAAAGTTTGAAAAGTAAATAAAAACTCCTTTCATTCGAGCACATTTCAAACATTCAGGTACAGACAACAATTTCTGATTTAAATACACTAAAAACGGCTTGGCGGTATATTGCTTTTATGTAAACTGTGGCATCTAGCATAATAATTTGACCTGGAATGGTAGGTTGGCAGGAAGTATATAGCACCACGAGTATCACTGTCTGCTCCCACAATTACAGCTGTGATTTCGAGCTTCCGCGTGGCAAATTTCCTGGAGAAAACATCCGCCAGGAAAGACTGCAACTGAAATGCAATAACACGACGATATGGAACGTTTGAGCTGTAACACCAAATTAGTAGATGCTGAATATGGAAATCCACGCATGCAGAGCCTCACCATAGCAAGAAATACAGCCTTTTTGCTGCTTCTACTTCTTGAAATTGTTAGAGCAAATTCATGGGTTGATATGGAGACGTGGGCAATAATGGTCTCCTTCAGGGTCCCCAGTGTCGCTTGTAAAAAAGAAAAAAAACAGCCTAACCCTAACCCTAAACCTAACCCTAACCCTACTTGAACCTATAAACTGTCCTGTATACAGTAGTTTCTGCCATTCCATAATTTTGACCAACTGAAGAAGGGGGAACAATCTGTGTTTCTGTACCCCCTGGTGCCAAAGAATACAACCAGGGACGACATGGATGGGCCCTGAAGGCAGGACTTTGTAGACCGGGCCGACCTCCCAAACAGTTCCCCTTTATGCTGGCCCTCTCTGGAAGAATTACGGCGCGAGGACCTCGCAGGAGACCGGGCCGCGTCGGTGGGGGGCAGGGAGATAAGTCCTGTAATTGTGACATACTGTAAAACAGCGGCGTCCATTCATGACACGGCCGTGTGTAATAAACTACGGGGGGGCGGGGGGCGACAGAGAGGCAGCTGCAGTGTGTAGCCCCAGACAAGGCCGCTCATTCTCCGGGACTCAAGCCTCCTAATTTACTGCTGTCCAGTCAGCCTCTGAAATTCTTTGTGATGATACAGTTCTACCCACAGATTCCTACAGGGGTTGGTTTTTTGGCTTCGGTCAGGAGGGAGACGACGACATGACAATTACACCCATTCACAGGACAATACATAAGATTCTTTTATTTAAAAAAAAGAAAAAGATCAATTTTGAAAAACTGAAGTGTGTGTGTGTCCTAATGTTGTGGCAGGTTCCATAGACTGTGCTGTACGTCTAGGTTATGGGACAGTCGTTTTTTCCCCCATATAAATTTGGTAAAAGATCATGCAGTTACTTTATTGGACCTTGCTGCCAGGACATGCACACTTTGTCCAAAAACGGTTCAGTTCTGACCCGGTGTCGATGCCAGATTGCGTCTCGCTTTGTGCTCTTTGGGCATCCGGACTGCTCTGCGATAATTACAGATTTAAACACCCCAGAAAACAGAAAGTGTGGCCTTTTGCACTTTTCTGCTTGAAGCTTTGAGTGTAAACAGAAGATGAACATACTGTGATGACCACGTCTGTGATACACGTACGGCACTGATGCGATGTCATTCACTCCGTTTCTAATTATATGAACAAATAATTGTTTTGTATGAATAGTGTTGTTGTTGCATTGTCTTGTAAATTTAATAAAGAATGCTTAAACTGTGCAAGTGGGTCTTATTACCAAATAATGAGCGGTTAAGATAAGAATAACAGTATGAATTTTGAATATGTTTGATATGTTAAAGAGAATAGGTCACCTTGCAGGGTGTCTGTTCCCCTTTGCAGTGTGTGGGACACTTTAAAAAAAAAATGACAAAAATGTGTTTTTTTTTCAACCACATATTCTGTCTGTTTCCTAATTGAAAATGACAATTTTAGTATCCATGTGAAAAGAGCAATGCGATGAAATGCTTTTTTTGGTGAGGGGGGGAATGAGTTTTCCGAACCCGCGAATCATGGGCTTATCACGCACCATCAGTCACTGCCTGGTTTAACCCAATTCCGAACCAATAAAGTAACCAGCGGAAAGTAGGTTAAAAGAGCTGGTCCGCGAGAGAACGACGTTTTTGCTTTGCCCCATTTAGTGTTTTATCACCAAATTATTCGATTTTTTATTAACAACGTCAATTCCGAATGCAGAACCGTAACTTATCGACGCGATACTCTTTCTTGGGAGGTGTTAATTACTTTGCCTGGATTTAATTTAAGTAGCATAAAGAACGCGGTGTGCAAATCCGGAAGCTTAAAAGGTTTCATTTAGGCACCTCTTCATTTGCATTCGCCGTTCTAAATTTTATCCGCGGCGAGCGTTATGCGAGAAAGACCATCTGCTGAGAAGAAGAAGGAAGTGGGTCCCGTTTAGTGTTTGTCAATCAATCATCAATCAGCGGATCGATCCTTTTGTCTTCAGAAGCGTCTCCCACGGAAAGTTTGTCACTTTGAAGTAACAGCTTTCACGGAGGATGTGAAGGGGGTGTTTGAGACGTCTCGGGAGAAGCCGTCGCCGCTGGCGGCCACGGGGGAAGTCCTGTAAGTCGCGCTTTCGCTACCTCGCTGTTCCCTGCTCCTTGGAGCACACACCTCTGTCCCACATTCTCCTCCATTGTTGCATCCTCCTTTGCAAGCCAGGTGCAAGGCATCATGGGACTCCTGACGCGACCTTCGACCCTTCCCCTTTCACCCCGCCATCTCCCTTTCAGAACTAAAGGGATACTGTACATTCCCAGGCTGCATGAAACTGGGAGCACACAGACAGCTGGAGTTATTCAGGTGGTGGGGGAGTTTGCCGGGAGGGGGGGGCAGGGTGTCATTTGACTGTCATGTGCCATTGTGCCACTCGTGCCGTTGCCACGAGTGACGAGTGCTGTATGGGAC